GACCAGGATGGTCTCGATCTCTTGACCTCGTGATCCACCCGCCTCGGCCTCCCAAAGTGCTAGGATTACAGGCTTGAGCCACCGCGCCCGGCCTCGAAAACTTTTTGAATGACAATATGATGCTCAAAGGAAATGTTAATTGGAGCATTCTAGACTTTGGATTTTTGAATTTGGGATGCTCAAAGAGTAAGTATATATAATGCAAATATTCCAAAATCCACTTCTGGTCCCAAACATTCTGGTCCCAAGCATATTTAGATGAGTGATACTCAACCTGTACTTTTTTGTTAGAAATGTATGCACTAATAGGCAAGCCACAGTGGCTCACGCCTGTAATCCAGTACTTTGGGAACCAAGGTGGGTGTATCACCTGAGGTCAGGAATTCGAGATCAGCCTGATGAACATGGTAAAACCTCATCTCTACTAAAAATACAAAACTAGCCGGGTGTGGAGGCACATTCCTATAATCCCAGCTACTTGCCAGGCTGAGGCAGGATAATCAGTTAAACTTAGGAGGTGGAGGTTGCAGTGAGCCGAGTTTGCACGACTGCACGCCAGCCTGGGCAACAAGAGTGAAACTCCATCTTAAAAAAAAAAAAGGAATTTATGCACTAATAAAAATAAAAACCATCCCATAGGCAACAAGAACAAGGCCATACTTTCATGCATCTAAATAAACATAATCATAAAGGCTACTAGGCCTCTGACGTGCCATGGTAAATTGTCACTATTTAACGCTACCCTGCAGTTCATGGAGGAATACATACTCACCAGCTGGCCTGCCAGCAGTGGCATATACTCAATGATAGCCAGCCGGACCCTCCATTTGGCATCTTCAGCCAGCTCCACTATGGCAGGAAGGAGAGACTGAGAGAGCTGACGAATTCCAATCACTTCATTTACACAATCCAAATTGGAGATGATATTCAAACGAACTTCAGGACACTGCAAGTACACAAGCCACAAATGACCACATATAAAAATCAAGTCGTCTGCCCAACAGTCTCCTGTCAGGATAAGATACAAACTGCTAAGTAAGTTTTAAAATTAGAAAATATTGACTCAAGTGAAAAAAATGGATAGTCTTGAAGAAAGAATACTGAGTACATAAATAATTCAAGGAACACAAGTGATCTTAATCAGAAATTTCAATTAAAAGTCTGCAAGACTAAAGACTATGAGAAAAGTCTCTAAGATGGTAAAGAGCATAAACTCTGGAATTAAATCAGATGCACTCAAATTTCAGATCTGTCACTGCTGAAAGATCTTGCTCAAGTTACTTTTACCCTCTGTACCTCAGCTTCCTCATCTATAAAATGGGATAATAATAATAAGCCCTACCTCATAGGATTGTTTTGAGCATTACATGTAAAAATACATGCAAAGCACTAAGGATCGTGCCTGGCACATAGTAATTACTCAGTGAATATTAGGTATCATTATAATTTTTGGTACTATATTTAAACTTAAATTAAAAAAACTTTTTAAACAAAGACACATTAGCTATAAAGGAACCAGTGAGTATAAAGCAAAAATCAAGTAAAGATGATAAATAGACATTTCTAGATTTACTTTAATGAGTCCTTGTGACCACTTTCTGAGGAACCTATAACCCCATACCCAAAATCACAGGTGTTGTCATTGGTTTAAAGGAAGTTACGCTTTTTTTATCCATTTCCTTTTTGGGGGTTCTATTTTAGTGAAACCCCAAACCAAAATCAAATCAAATAAAATTACTATCAAGGGCAACAGAACATAAAGCAAGACTCACCTCATCCTTTAACTGAGCTAAAAAAAGAGGTAGAAGATGTTCAATGGTATTCTCTTTGCCCACAATAGTAGACAATCCCATAATTACAGAAGCTAGGGCCGATTTGACATGTTGACTGGTATCAGATACTAATTCCTAAAATAAAATTAAATTTGACATGTTGACTGGTATCAGATACTAATTCCTAAAATAAAGTCAAAATTAAAAGCCTTTATTACAAGACAACAGAAACTTCCATACCATTTCCCAAGGACGTATTATTTATTTACTTATTCTGGGAGACAGAGCCTTGCTCTGTTACCCAGACTGGAGTGCAGTGGCGTGACCTTGGCTCACTGTGGCCTCAACCTCCCTAGCTCAAGCACTTCAGCCTCCAGAGTAGCTGGGTCTACAGGCATGCACCACCAGCCATGGCTATTTCTTTTTATTTTTTGTAGAGACTGGTTCTCGCTATATTGCCGGGGCTGGTCTTGAACTCCTAGGTTCATGTAATCCTCTCGCCTTGGCCTCCCAAAGTGCTGGGATTACAGTTGTGAGCCACTACACCAGCCTGATTTTTTTTTCTTCTTGGGACAGTGTGTCACTGTCACCTAGGCTGAAGTGCAGTGGCATGATCATAGCTCACTATCATCTCAACCTCCTGGGATCAAGTAATCCTCTCACCTCAGACTCCAAGTAGCTGGTACTACAGATACATGCCACTAGGCCCAACTAATTTTCGTATTTTTTGTAGAGATGGGGTCTCACTGTGTTGCCCAGGCTGGTCTATAATTCCTGGGCTCAAGAAATGCTCCCACCTCAGCCTCCCAAAGTGCTTGGATTACAGGCATGTGACACCGTACCCAATCCCAAGGAATTTAAAGACAGCACTATTTCAATATTGATTAATTGATAATGTTTCCTCAGACTACCTGTTAGGTAACATAAACCTATGCACCAAAGAGCATTTTATAATTATAATAGATTAATAAGTAATAAACAACAATGTCACACGTTAACATATCTTCCCCATTCATTCTTTGTCAACACCTTTAAACTCAAAGAACTTTAAGGTAAGCAAAATGAGATTAAGGTTTACCTTCATATAAATCAGAGTGAAAGAAAATAAACTGAGGTCAGGTTTACCTTTATATAGGGCAGAATTTGATTCATAATTATGGTCTCTCTATCTTCAATGGGCAAGTTCTCACAAAGTTCTGAAAGATAAATAGGAAAAAAAAATGTTTTCACAGGGCCATTTACAAAGAGCCAAATAAGGACATTTAACCAGACTTATCAACAATTTCAATTTAATTCATGTTAAAGCAAGTAAGGAAAATAGCTCTTGTTCTAAATACACTTTTTCGTGAAATCTCTATGCCACTGCGTACCACACCAATCCAACTGAAAAGGCATTTTTTTTTTATAAAAATACAAAATGATTTATTGGTTTTAAATATAAAGGGAGTATTTTTATGTGACAACGTGGCATTTCCACCCACTGAAAGCATCCCTATGCATTTTTAAAACATATTCTAGAAGAAAAACATGCAAAATTCACTAACAAAAAAAAATGCACCAAAATGAATGACACATGTTCCAACATGAATTGAACTCCTTAACCTTTTACTTTGTGGGCAGCAGCTGCCCGGACTTCAGCTTCACAGTCTTTAAGTAGGTTCTGAAAGGCGGGGACGAGGTCATTTAGGGTGATTTTAGGACCCACAGCTTTCTGGAGCTATAAAAGAATTTAAATGGGTTTTAATGTACACCAACAAAATAAATAACAAGAACAAAACAAAATTGTGCAATCTTTAAGTAGATATTTTTGCCACAGCACATTCCATTGAAAAAAATATTCAGAAACTTTGGATAAAACAGCATATCTATAGGTTTCCAGGTTTATTTCCTTAGTACTTAAAAATGATCATTTTACCTCTGAAAATTTGTCAGCTACCATATAGCGAACTCGCCAAGATTTATCTTCTGCTGCTTGTCGAAGTGCAGGCATCACCAAGGTCTCAACGTCATCCTGAGACAATAGCTGGGCAATACTGACACAAGCTTCCACAGCTAGGAGGCGCACTGAATCCTAAAGGAACAAAATTTCTATAAATCAGACATTTATTGAGATCTATGGGAACTGTTGTGGGGTGGTGCAGCTGTTCAAAAAAAACTACCACGACAAACACCACATCTTATATAGTTTCATGTCTTTATACTGTTTTTTTTTTTTTTTTTTTTTTTTTTTTGAGACAGGGTCTCACTCTGTCACCCTGATTGGAGTACAGCGGTGCAATCTCAGCTCATTGCAACCTCCACCTCCCAGGCTCAAGCGATTCTCCTGCCTCAGGCTCAAGTGATTTTCTTGCCTCAGCCTCCCGAGTAGCTGGGATTACAAGTATGCGCCACCACGCCAGGCTAATTTTTGTATTTTTAGTAGAGATGGGTTTTCACCATGTTAACCAGGCTGGTCTTGAGCTCCTGACCTCAAATGATCCACCCGCCTCCGCCTCCCAAAGTGCTGGGATTACAATTGTGAGCCACCATGCCTGGTCATGTCTTTACATCTTGAAGGAGCTGCTCCCTTTGCCTGGAATGGCATGTCGAAGTCATTAAGATAGAAATGACTTTGTACAATGAGTAAACAACGAAGTAATTACCTTGGCTAGAATGCAGAGTTTTAGGAGGAAAAGGAAAATAAAAATTTAAAAATTAAGTGGAAAAAAAATTTTAATGATGCCTTCAAAGCCCTACTATAATAGGAAGTTGAGGGATAAAAATGAAAAGAATACTTGTACAAGTTATTTATAACAGATTAGTGCAAAGGTAGAGAATAAGGATAAAGGAAATCAGGAGAAAGTTTTTTTTTTTTTTTTTTTGAGACAGAGTTTCGCTCTTGTTACCCAGGCTGGAGTGCAATGGCGTGATCTCGGCTCACCGCAACCTCCGCCTCCTGGGCTCAGGCAGGATAAAGGAAATCACTTAGGAAGCTCAGTTTTCAAAACACTCGGACCAGGGTGGCAGTAACAGGAGTGCAGGCAGCATAAAACGATGACTTGGGAAGAAATACACAGAACAATTGAAACTTGGAAATCAGAAACAAAAATCAGTTGGATTTAAATGTTAAAGATCAAGGATAGAATAACTTTGAGGAAGCTGTGGCTAGAAAACACAGAAATTAGAAAAGTATGAGATTAGTGAACTTAGCTTTCCAAATGTAAACAGCCAATGTCATCGTTGACACCTATTTCCTTTGAGCAAGTGGAAAATACACAATTAAGACAAATCAATGAGGGGCCTGGTGCGGTAGCGCACCCTGTAATCCCAGCACTTTAGGAGGCTGAGGTGGGCAAATCACCTGAGGTCAGGAGTTCAACACCAGCCTGGCCAACATGGTGAAACCCTGTCTCTACTAAAAATACAAACATTAAAAAAAAGAAAAAGAAAAAGAAAAAAGGCCGGGCGTGGTAGCTTAATCCTGTAATCCAAGCACTTTGGAGTCCAAGGCCGGCAGATCACCTGAGGACGGGAGTTCAAGACCAGCCTGACCAACATGGTGAAACCCCATCTATAAAAAAAAAAAAAAAAAGAAAGAAAGAAAGAAATACAAACATTAGCTGGGCATGGTGGTAATCCCAGCTACTCAGGAGGCTGAGGCAGCAGAATCGCTTGAACCCGAGAGGTGGAAGCTCCAGTTAGCCGAGATTGCACCACCGCAAGACTCCATCTCAAAAAAATAAAAAAGACCGATCAATGAGAAATTAGAAACTGAGACTGTAGATTTATATATTATACCATATAGGTGGAATCTTAAAACATGTAAACATTAGAACCCAGGAGAAATAGGCCAAAAATTTTAAGTGTGTACAATAAGTTATGTATATACGCACACATATACTTGAGAGACATAAAGGTAACTCTAACTTCCAAAATATTACATAACTTAAAAACTGTATATCAGCAATAACTGACTATATGCCAAAGACACACACACTCCTCTGTATGCAAGCATACAGGCTAAAAAAGACAGGACTATGTTCTTGGTAGTGATTACACAGATATTTTTGGATTTCGAAAACGATGGCTAAAGCATGGGACTGTTAATCAACTACTGAAATATAAGCTAATACATATTTGTTAAAAAATTACTTCTGGCCAGGTGTGATGGCTCACGCCTATAATCCCAGCACTTTGGGAGCCCAAGGCAGGTGGATCACCTGAAGTCGGGAGTTCAAGACCAGCCTGACCAACATGAAGAAACACTGTCTCTACTAAAAATACAAAATTAGCCGGATGTGGTGGCACATGCCTGTAATCCAAGCTACTCAGGAGGCTGAGGCAGAACTGCTTGAACCCGGGAGGCAGAGGTTGTGGTGAGCCAAGATCACGCAAATGCACTCTAGCCTAGAAAACAAGAGCAAAATGCCATCTCGAAAAAAAATGTTTTTAATTACTTCTCTGGCTGAGCGTGGTGGCTCATGGCTGTAATCCCAGCACTTTGGGAAGCCGAGGTGGGCAGATCACAAGGTCAGGAGTCCAAGACTAGCCTGGTCAACATAGTGAAACCCCGTCTCTACTAAAAACACACAAAAAAATTAGCCAGGCGTGGTGGCAGGCACCTGTAATTCCAGCTACTCAGGAGGCTGAGGCAGGAGAATTGCTTGAACCCAGGAGGCGGAGGTTGCAGTGAGCCAAGATCTTGCCATTGCACTCCAGCCTGGGTGTTAAGAGTCAAACTCCGTCTCAAAATAAAAAATTACTTCTCATCCAGAACTTCTGTTTTTCTCTCCTATACCTATTTCTCCTCCCAGAATTTTCTCCATCTTAATGATGATACCACCATTCACCCAGTTACTCAAGCAAAAAATCTAGATCTTGATTCCTCTACCCACCATCCAATCCAATAGTAGTAAGTCCTATGGATCCTGACATCCAGATCCTTTCCATCTTTACTACTGCCACCCTATTACCATCATCATCTCATGCTGAGACTTGAAATGTGGCTGCTATACATTATTTATTCACAAATAATTTTGGAAATTTTTGGTTGAATACAAACATTGTTAATTTCACCTATTTCTTTTTACTTTTATATATATATATATATATACATATATATATATATATACACATATATATATATATATATATATATATATATATTTTTTTTTTTTTTTTTATTAAGATGGGGTTTCACCATGATGGCCAGGCTGGTTTTGTACTCCTGACCCCAGGTGATCCACCCACCTAGGCCTCCCAAAGTGCTAGGATTACAGGCGTGAGCCACCACGCCCGGCCTATTTCTTTTTACTTTTAAAAATATGGCCACTGAACTCAATTCAGGAATTCACAGAAAAATAAAAAATAAAAACATGGCCAGTAGAAAACTTAAAATTAACAGATATCTTACATTATATTTCTGTTGAACAGCATTGTTTTAAGCTGTAATGTTTGGGTAACAGAAGTGCAAAGAAGGCTGGGCACAGTGGCTCATTCCTGTAATCCCAGCACTTTCGGAGGCTGAGGCAGGCAGATCATGAGGTCAAGATATCGAGACCATGCTGGCCAACATGGTGAAACCCCATCTCTACTAAAAATACAAAAATTAGCTTGGCATGGTAGCACATGCCTATAGTCCCAGCTACTCGGCAGGCTGAGGCAGGAGAATCACTTGAACCCAGGAGGGGGAGGTTGCAGTGAACCAAGATCGCAGCACTGCACTTCAGCCTGGCAACACAGCAAGACTCCGTCTGAAAAAAAAAAGTGCAAAGAAAACTAACGAGGTGCTTACCATAAAAGTCAGGATAACGTTACTCTTAAGGAAGTATGGAATGGCAAGTGGAGGAGGAAAAGATTGTGTTTGAAACGAAATCCATGGAGGGATTCTGGGGTAGGGGCTGTCACAGTGATGTCTCCTAACATAGGTGACAGTTAACAAGTTGGTATTACCTTATAATAGTTCAATAAGTTGCACATTTATTTTGTGCTGTTTACTATATGTTATTCTAATAAATTTTTTAAATTATTTTGAAAACAGGATTTAGAGCTTTAGATTTAGGATCTGAAAATGAGACTCATTAATATGTGTCCTGGTGCTTGTGGTCCTGTACATATGAAATGATCTTAGGGCAGACAACATGCAAACTAAAGACTCTTCTAGAGTCCAGGAACTCTGGGAGCTAGCTGTGAAGGACACAAATTCTGTGGCCAAACCACCTAGATTCAAATCCTGACTCCACTACTGCTAACTGTGCAGCCTTGAGCAGGTTATTTAAACTTTGTGTGCCTTTGTTTTCTAATGTGTAAAATGGGCTATCTCATGGGCTGTTGTAAGGACTGAATTACTTAATATACAAAACTACTTAGAGGCAGAAAAAAATTAAGTATTTAATTTAGATATTTGCTAGTTTTATTGTTATTTCTACATCGAAGAGATCTAGATCTTCAGAATTAAATACTATTATGTGAAGTAATCCCATGCACTACTATACAGGAAGCAGAGGGTCAGATAGCTTTCCTAACACATTCTAAGCTTACTTATCTGAAAAGTCAAAAATTCCAGGAAACATTACTCCCTCATACTACAATACAGCCAGCAATTCCCAAAGGTATGTTATGCCTCTATGGAGCTTTGGTGTTCCTTTCTAATTATGGCTCCTATTTCCTCTCTGACTCCCTCTTCTTTTAACAGCTGCTAATGTAAGAGAGAAACCATAGTCTGGTTAAGAAAGAAACATAAGAACATTGAGATGAGCATGTTACACTTTAACCAGACCAGAATGAGCACGAATTCTGCAAAAAGAATCCTAACAAGAAAACCAAAACTCCCCAAAGAAATTCTGAACATTTAGAGGAAAGGAGCATATCTGTGCCCTTTAAATACTAAGAGCCAGTTTACCTGTTCATCTGAAGCTAGATTAGTGAACAATGGAACAATTTCACTTTTCACACTGTCTAATTCCAAAACTTTTGCAAATTCACCCAATTTGGAAGCAGCAGCACGTCGTACCATTGGTGTGTCATCTGAGCACAAGGAACGGAAGTGCCTGCAACATAAAGCAATGAACATATTTCCCATCAAATAACACTGACTAAGCCTGCCCCAACACACACAGACTTTTAACAGTTTTATCTTACAATACTTAGTGATTGGGCTTCTACTCATCGAAGTAATGAAAATAAAACATATTCAACTGGATGACAAAAAAATGACATCATAGGCCAGGCATGGTGCCTCGCACCTGTAATCTCAGCACTTTGGGAGGCCCAGGTAGGACAGCTTGAAGCCAGGAACTGAAAGAAGACTGAGCAACAGAGCAAAACTCTATCTCCACCCCAAAAATACTTTTTTTGTTGGGGGAACTCAAGTGATCCTCCCACCTCAGCCTCCTGAGTAGCTAGGAATATATTCAAATCCTGAATATATTCAAGTTAGGATTTGAATATATTCCTAGGTGCATACCACCATGCCCAGCTAATTTTTTTTTTTTTTAGTAGAGACGAGGTCTTAGTATGTTACTCAACCTGGTCTTGGCCTTTTGAACTCAAGCAATCCTCCCAACTCAGCCTCTCAAAGTGCTGGGATTCCAAGAACAAGCCACTGCACTCAGCCAGAAAAGTTTCTTAAAAACTAGCCAGGAGCACTGGTGCATGTCTATAGTTCTAGCTACCTGGGAGGCTGGGGCTGGAGGATCACTTAAGCACAAGAATTTAAGGTTGCAGTAAGCTATGACTGCACCATCATGCTCCAGCCTGAGCAACAAAGCAAGACCTTATCTCTTAAAAAAAAAAAAAAGGATATCAGCCAGGCATGGTGGCTCACGCCTGTAATCCAAGCACTTTGGAGGCCAAGGCGGGTGGATCACCGGAGGTCGGGAGTTCAAGACCAGCCTGACCAACATGGTGAAACCCCGTCTGTAAAAAAAAAAAAAAAGATATCATAAATCCTGCTACCACAGTATCAGCCACGCACTGATAACAAGGTACTGTGTAAATTGTCAGTTACAAGTCCCCAATAATCCCAAATAACTCAAAAAAATGCCATAGCTTACTGTCTAATATCTGCTTTAACAGCATTTGATGCCCTGGGATAGCAAACGCTGAACAAACCACATGCAGACGTGCGAGAGGTAAACCAATCCCCACTTGCTAGGCGTTTCACCAGAGGTACAAAATAAGCTTCCAGGGCAACAGGAGTATGCTCCTGGGAGATCTGTCTCAGGGACTCCACAGCTCTGTCACGAACAACAGTCTCTTCCACAGTCGCCAGATTTTCCAAAGGAGGCTGAACAGATTAAAAAAGAAAACTTATTGAATCAGGTTAGAAACAGATTATCACCTTTTACAGTGAGTGAAGGGAGGTGATACACGTAACCAGAATGTTAGCTGTATCACACCAAATGGTTACTTTCAGCTCACACAGTGATAACATATGGTGCAGACAACCCTAAGACACGACTTCTATAGAAAAGCCAAAATCTCATGTCCCAGATGGCAATTCCCAGATGGTGTCTACAAATGACACAGTGTAAGAGACTTGACACAATATTAATATTTCCGTGAGCTGAATCACTAGGTTTAAAAGATATATAGCCAAATTCAGACAGGATCATGTGTATTTCCTCAAGAGTAAGTACAAAAACATGATCAACACTGGACACCACATTTACAGGATAACAGCTTGTCAGGTCACTGAGTCCACAGCCTTTCAGTATTCCCAGAGGTGCAAGCAACCCTTATCCACCATCTCCATGCCATCCTTTTTATCCAACCTATAAAATGCTGAGTACAAAATTGCTTTTTTCAGAACACATTCAGCAACTTTCCATTAGCCATAGGGCAGGAGTTTCTGACAGAACAATCAACTGAAAACTACAGAGATGGCCAGGTACAGTGTCTCACACCTATAATTCCAGCCCTCAGGAGGCAGAGGTGGGCAGATCACGTGAGGTCAGGAGTTCGGGACCAGCCTGGTCAACATGGTGAAACCCTGTCTTTACCAAAAAATACAAAAAATCAGCTGGGCGTGGTGGCGCGTGCCTGTAATCCCAGCTACTCAGGAGGCTGAGGCAGGAGAATTGCCTGAATCCAGGAGGCAGAGGCTGTGATGAGCCCAGATCACGCCATTGCACTCCAGCCTGGGTAACAAGAGCAAAACTCTGTCTAAAAAAAAAAAATTAGCCAGACAGGGTGGTGCAAATCTGTAATCCCAGCTACTCAGGAGTCTAAGGCATGAGAATTGCTTGAACTCAGGAGGTTGCAGTGAGCCGAGATTGTATCACTGCACTTGGGCCTGGGTGACAGATGACAGAGACTCTGTTTCAA